GCTCTACGCAATCCCAGTTCTCCAATAAATTGGGATTGGATTGGAGATTGATCCAATCCTGATACCAGGTATTGGGGCTCATCTCAATCTGATCCAGGGTTTGGATTGGTTACATGGTTCTTTGTAAACAATTGAGTTCAATACAATTTTATTTCTTCAATCCCCAAACTGGTGCTGATTTGGATCATTTATCTTGCTCAAAATTGATTATAGAGTTTTATCCCACAAATTATCCTTCAAGTTTGAAATTATTGAAGTACTTAGTTTAAACAGAATTTATGCATTTGAACAACTTTGACCTCTTTTTTGCACTTTTTATACATTCCACTGGGTAGTATGGAGGTACTGAACAGCCACTTTGGCCAAAAAAAAGAAAAATTGAAAAACCCAATTTTCAAACAAATATGAGTGATTGCAACCGCCAAGTTGGCCAAGTGGATCTGACATGTATGTCATACGCCCTGACAATACTTCTTAAGCATTCTGATACATACAAACTATGTGATAAGCTCCCTGGAGCAAAAGGACCATCCTCAACGCATAACACATACACCACAGCTCTTTGACCAATGATTCAGCTGGCAACTGAGCTCAAGAAACACTCTTCTCCCTAACTGCTAACCCTTACCAGACCAACAACTCAACACTTCCCCAACAGATCTTACTACATACACCAACCATCCATCATGTGTGCCTCAATGCAATCTTTTGGTGATGATTTTGAGGCTGAGGTTTCTCTTCTAGTTGAAAATGGCCTGATAGATGCTGAAGTCCGCAAACATATTCAAGACACGCACACCATATCTGTCTCCCAGCAAACACTCACACAAAGGAAGGAAGATTGGGGACTTATACTTCAAGCCACTGAACATTCCAATTAGCTTGAAGACCACATCCAAACCTACTTTGAACAAGGATTGTTATATTCAGAAATCCACCATGCTCTAACAACAAGTCACGACTATACTCAATCTTTTCAAACACTTGAAAGAAAGAGAAAATCCATGAACCTGATATGGCAAACTGACGATTTGGACAACAACAAGGTTGACATTGATACAATTGTCTCTATTATTGATGCTTGGAGCTGGAAGATTTTGGGAGTCTTTGTTCATGTCACCAACAACAACCCCCAACACATTAGATACTAAACGTGAAGGTGGCATACCTCGCCAAACATCTACACTGACAGGGGAACCAAAACAATCCACATGGCTGGCCACCAGATCAACCTCACCAAAATGTTCAATGCAGACTGCCCAGATCCAAGAAAGTCACACCTGTTCACCTAGAGCACTCACTGTCAGAAGATTAAGTGTCTATGGTCACAGTTAATGAAGCAATACAACAGCGAGCTAATAAATCAACTCTTTTGGGCCAAGGAGGAATCTTACTATGATCTAGAAGATCCTGTTGAGCAGTAAGTTTATTCATCCACAGATTGTCTTGTTTGGTAATAAACTGCCTAACTTCACATACATCACAAGTCTTGTATTTATTTACTTATGGGTTCCACTTCTGCAAGAAAGTCTCAATCAATGGACAAGTAACTATAAAAATTGCAAACGTCAATGGGACAAGAAGAGCATGCTCTCAACCCAATGTAGTGCAGAATGGTGCTATCAATATCCCTCACAGGTCAGAGGCAAACAAGGATTGACTCGAGTGTCAAAGGCTGCTCCTGAGGCCTTACAGCAGGTGTCAGAATTAATGGAAACGTCTCCCAGATGGTTTGTGGAACCCATAAAAGAGCTGGAAACCAGGATACATTTGAAAATACCTGTTGTTGACATTCACAATGTTTGGGAGGTGTTCTCTCTTGTTCTTGAAGCGATCTGTTTGTTTGCAGACTCCTCTTGGCTTTCAGACCCTACCAATGACCCTTCTGAATCTTTCTCTCATCGTGCGGCATCCATTGAATAATATGGTTCCTTTGTCTTATTCACGTTTTAATTCAACATAATCCAATTTCTGATTGTGTTACAGAAGATACTTGGAAGTCTTGGAGAAAGCCAATAATGTGACTGCTTTTAATTAGCATTGTTTTGGATGAGTCTCTGATTTATTCTTTGTATTCAATAATCAATTTCACTTTGGCGCTTGGGAACGCTCACCTAGTTGTGGTGGATCCCAAACAATGGTTTGAGCTGAGGTTTTCATTGTAGCAGGTGCTTGAGTTTTGCCTGATTTAAGGGATTCTGCTAATTTCCTTGCGGCTTCTTGCATTTGAGGGTCCGCCGACGCTTCAGCTAATACTGTTCTGATTGTTCTCGCAGGATTCCAAGGTATGTGTTGTCCGTTTGGTAAATACCAGTCTTTTCCGTTACGCCTAACTAATCCTTGCTCTTTGTCCTTTAAGAGTTCTTGCCATCGATAGGTTCTGTGTCCCTCTCTCTTGCAGTAGTAACACACTTGAGTTTCATACAACGGTGTTGAAGGTTTAGTGTTTCCTCTAGAAAATTCCAATTTTTTGTTGGATCCAGTTTGATTGTACGACACTGGAATTATACTCTTCAATTGAGCCTTCAGCAAGATTGATTGTACAATACTGGAATTATACTCTTCAATTGAGCCTTCAGCAAAGCAATTTCTCAAGCCATATCTTCAACTTGCTTGTCCATGGCTTGTCCTGTAGGCGCCTCTGCAATCATCTGATCTCTTTGCTGACTGTTTCCTTTCTGGGTGTTCAGTTTATTCTGCATCAATTGATCAGATTTGCCAAATCCCGTGATGTTAAAGTATCTAGGTTCCACGATTTGTACTTTCAGTCCTGATGCTTCAACCAAGTCTTCCCAGCGTGGAGGTAAATTCCTGCCATCTGGTCCCTTTGGAAGTAAATCATAACTAATTAAGGTGTGTTTGATATTTGATTGGCTTTCACGGGAAAATGCACTCAGGAAGAGTATTGATGCATCTGACTTCTGATGAATTTCTTTGTTGGTTACTAAGTATTTGAGAATGGTGGTGAATTTTCCTAAGTAAGAGTTGAATTCCCGATGATCCTTGATTCTGCCATTTACTCTGTATTCTCTTGTAACTTTAACCAGGTCGTTGCAGGTGTACAAGATTGTGTTGTCCAATTCGCCCCAGGTTTTGACCATTTCTTCTTGTAACTTTGTCCATTCACATTTCTCAAACCCGTCCATGGCTTCTAGTTGGATCTTGAGCTCCTTGGTCTTCATGAATTGTCCGATTTGTAATGCCTTATCATAGTCGCTTGCATTAAACTCCCTAGCTGCTCTTTCAAACTG